ATAAAATGTACAAAATTTTGTTGAAAGGTATTGTTATATCATTGCTAGAAAATGAAATGAGCCTCCTTTTGTAATTGCTTAGCCATAAGAAATTTAACAGTATATATTCGAATAATGCTGTGGGTGACTTCAACAGGACCATCACTAAAAGAAGCAAAATTGTTAATAATTAAATTCATTATTGAATAGCCTGTTTTCATCTAATAAAAAACATCTAAAAAAAACATTAAGGGGCACGCTTATAATTTCTTCTATTAAATCGTAAGAAAAGGTCGCTCCAACAATACATGCATGCTTCCTCATATGATGGCCAATCCACACTCTGATAGTGTATAGCATAGACATCAAAAACTAAGAGAACTAAATTGCTAAATAAATTAGTAAGATATAAAAACTCAATATTTTTACACATAAACCCAAATTTTGCATAAACTGTATCTGCAATATTGGACTATACCAAGTGTACAATTTGGAGAATTAAATTAATTCTTCATGGTTGTGGATTCTGGCTGAGTTTCTCGAATGCCATCTTGTAAATATTACTAAATAATAAATAATTTTTTTTATAAACAAGTCATAAGAATTTAAAGACATATGAAGAGGCCCTAAAATGGGCAAAAATAATATAACAAACTGTGGAATACTCTCATTATTAAAAAGAAGCCATTGTGCAATGGCCTTACAGATAAAAAATTGCCCAGGCCAATCTGCGACAGTAGGAACAGCATAATTAGAAAGATAAATTTGCATTGGCTTATTGTCATATACAATTCGAAGAGCATCAACATATTCTTCAATTCTTTTTTAATGAAGTCAACAAGAATTGAATTGTATATATATTGATCATTCTTTTTCTCTGCAAGCCTATCATCATAGTTATGTACTGTTAGTCTATCTTATATTTCTTCATCAGTACATGCTTGTTCTCTGCTTCACATTCGATCGTGATATGAAACACCAAGATTTATGATAAATCGTTCATCAAGATGTTTCATAATCAAATGGCTATCTATGAACCTTGGATTAACTATTCCATTATATAATATTGCAGGATTTAAACACAGGTTGATTAAAATTGTTACCATATATGTTGGCCTAGAAGTAACTGTAGTGTTAGGCTGCTGTGGGATGTGGATATTATAATAATTGTTGACATTTAGTACAAGTGCATTCCCCAAATGCTTAAAAAGTGCATTTTCCACATATTTTTCATATGCTTCTGATATCTTTCTCTTACACTGATCTACTGCCTGCAGCATTGTAGTAATGCCGAGATTCACCATCATACTCAAGCCTTCTTTAGTTACTTCCACCGAATCTAAATAATACGCAAGATCAAACTTAAAAGAATTAATTTTAGTATTGTTCAAAGAAGCAAGTAAATAGCAAATGAACACCAATATTCTTTTTATACGGTCCATTGTTTGTTTGGTACATGTGGATAGCCTAGCTGCTAAATAAAGTTGCTTAAGAAAATGCTTAAAATTAGGTTCATCTTTTACTAGTAATTCTTGCAATTCTTCAAACATATAAATTGTATTTTCTTTTTTTACATGCTCTCTTTTATAAAAAACCTTTGCTATTAACCTAATGGCTTCAGAGAGCTCAATCTTTTTATTAGATGTACCTGCCTTTTCATCTTGATCATTTATACCTTTCGCTCACTTACTACTTCATTTCAAGGGATTTTCAACTAGATCCATGTAACATTTATTACATAAAATAGTGCCTTCCTTCCACGTTGGCTTCTCTAGTCCTCTAGCCACGATTTCTTTCCATTTGTCTGCACTCAACAAATGGAATTTAATAGATTGGGTGGCTTGGCAGCTTGTGCAATGCTTATTTTCAGACATATTTAACACTAATATAAGTTGCAGGAATCAGAGGGATTCACCAGATATTCTTATGCGCGCTGAAGTGAGAACTTCAAGTTTTCTTAGAATTATAGTCCACCTTTGATAGGGAGGATGGGCTACACAAGTCTCGTGAAAAAGTACTTTAAAGTGTATAAATTACGATTGTCATGAATTGTGTAACATGTTACTATTTTTAGGTACATTTCCCCCTGTTATAACACGGTTTTATAACTTTCCTTAAAAAATTATAAAAATCAAATACGTATCATTTTACAACAAGTAATTAAACAATTACACAATTTCATAACTGGACAATGTAAATCAAATCCGGATCAACATTTATACAGTACTCATTTAAAACCCCAAACCCAAGCTTAAGTTCGCCAGGGCAACCACCAAAAGTACGGGCGCATGATAAGACACCACAGCCATATCTTAATAACGTAGTATATTGCTTAGTTACATATTTCATTTTAAGAACAATAAAACTAACTGCATGCAGGTGACGATTCAAAAATTTTCTCAGTGGTTGTGGCGTCTTATCATGTGCCCGTACTTTTGATGGTCACCCTACCTTGACAACTCTTAAGATTACTATAGTATTTTTCCAACCATTCAAAGAGTACCCATTCTTGATCTACGAGTTAACAATAAAAGACAATAGCCATGTAAATGGATACGTAAAAATGGCATTTCAAACAATTAAAATTGGCGCAGTAATTATTGTTTTTATTCCAATACTTTTTGTCAAAATTATTTATGGATGAATAGCCATAAACAACAATTTTTATTTATAAATGTGTTTATTTTCTGATTGATCAATCAAGTTTGAAAAATGATCTATACATCAATAAGTAATACTTCAAAAGATTTTAAAGATCTATAAAACAATCGCAAATTCTTGATCATATACGTAAATATAATCTGATATAATATATTTTTTTTTACACGCTTAGATCACGTTTCTGAATACGATAAAAGAACTCATAAAAAGTCAATACATAAGTAATCATTTCTTGAGTTTAATATGATGATTCCACTAAAACTAAGAAAGATTATATTATTGGATTTTGGCGGATGAAAAAAATGGGTTCATAATGTTAAAAGTCGACATCTATACAACATTGAGGAGGACAAAATGGTTCAACTGATGCTAATTATAAAAAAAATAAGAAAATTAGAATATCTCTCAAGGTCACTATAAATTGCTAGGACATGATAAACTTAATTTTCTTACGATGTTTAACAGGGACTGCAGAATAGATTATGACGATGATGAACAGAATAATATGTGCTCGTAGTTCCATAATAAATTTTTCAGGAGAAATTGTTGGATAGAATAAGTCCAATTTATCAACTTGCAGTGGAATGATTATTAAATATGAAATATAGAATGATATAATATGGTACTCTATTCGAATTGAATTAATTAAGAGTTCAAGTCGATATTAAAGAAAGAAAGTATGTTCACAGGAATGCTATATAGTGATTGAGTTAAAGAAAAAGATCGCAATGTAATTTTTAGTTTTTAAATGGAATATTATGACATTTTAAAAACTAATTTTTTGAATTTTAACAAACAAAAAGAGATATATAAAATAATTATTGTATGTTTCTGTTTATAAATTAACATCTAATTCTTTACCAATTAGAATTAAATTTATAATTTTTTTTTCTTGCAAAATTTACGATAACTAAATGAGTTAAACATTCAATGGACTATTTATTCAATATTTTAATTAGAAAAATTCTGTAAAAAACTAATTAATTGGAAAGTAAGGGGCTCCTATAGAATAAAAATTTCTCAATTAGAAATCGTTTTAAAGAGACTAAAATAATAGAAACTAGCGATGGGAATTTCTAATTGTTAATTACGAATTGTTAACGATAAAAAATTAAAAATGAATTAATAATTTAACAATAATTTCTAAGTAATTAATAAATGAATTATCCAGTATGTATAGAACATCATCGAAGAAAATGATTCTATAAAATCATTGGTCACATAAATTAAAATCTGTAGTGAAAGATTCTGTTGCAGAGAATTTCTACGGGAACTATTATCAGTTAATTTTTTATCGCTACAAAATCATTCTTACATTAGAGTACATAAAAAACAATGGAAAATATGATTACATCATTCTATCGATACTTTCTATGCATTTTGAATAATTTAAATATTAATTGTCAGAAATTAATTATTAATTTAACAATTCCCTATTAACAATTAAAAATTAGAAATTCCCATCGCTAATATAAACTATAACGATGTAAAACTGGAATTTATATTAAACTTAGAATTTTCACAAAGAACACGATTAACTTCTATTACATACTTAATATGAAATAATGTATGAAGAATAGATAGTCATGCGGACTAATCAAATTTAAGATTTTGAATACTATTAGCGCGATTGCAAATTATTTAATACGAAGTGATGGCTAATAATGTGATCGAAAATGAAGCAGCACACCCACGTTAAGAACCGCAGGAACACTTATAAGATGCCAATTTTGCAATAAGAAACTGATTGAAAGGGAGATTCATGTGTCAATAGTACATGAACAATTGGGATGCGCTGCCACCTATGTATATCAAAACTGCACGTGGTATCATATAAATCCATTATCGCTTTATATGGATACTATTATTAAAGAATATTTAGCTAATATATTTCTAAGGGGTAATAATACGTACAATCAGTGCCTTACCATCCCAACCATCATGCACCATCTGAACAATGAACTAAATGTTCTCTTACAACTCACTCGTCCTGTAAACAAGGGCCTCAGTAAACCCTAAATTTCTTTAAAAAACTGTAAATAATAATTTGTGATATGTAATAAAATGCCATACTATATACACACTTTATACATTAAAGCAAATTTTTTAAAAAAAAAAAATTCCAACAAAAGTTACGTTAAAAATTTACTAAATTTTCATTTGAATTTTAAATACTAATATGGAAGTATAACATGAAATATTTTAACGTAATTTTGTTAACTTTGTTAAAAATATGGTTTAAGAATTGATACATGCTAAAAAACATTTTTAAAAAAAATGTAATTCGTTCTCTACATCTAAAAATATCCATTTCATTTAAAATTTATATAAAAATGATAGTTCTAAAAAATTTCTAATAATTAATTTTTATTGATTTGCAAAGTTGACCATGCACTTAAATGAACAATGCAAACTTCAAACAATCGAAAACCAAAAGGAAACATGGAAGATACATAAATTACAGCACCGAACACTGAATCTTCACTGTATCAAATTTGATTGATCAGACTTCTCAATCCACCCAACCCACCCGAGGCAAATGGCAGAAGGAATTCTACCATTTCTCTACTCTCATATTTTTTTCTACTCTTATACTTTTTTATTGTTGAAAGGTTTCAAAATTCGAATAGACTGTTACCGAAGATACGTAGTTACTAACCTCATAAAGTCGCTTTGTAATTTTCTGTTTGTATATGTATTCTTCCTGGCGATTACTAACATTTCCCTTTGATTTTCTTGGGTAGTTATCGACTTTATGTTGGTTAGTAACTACGTATCTTCGGTAACAGTATATATTCGAATAATGCTGTGGGTGACTTCAACAGGACCATCACTAAAAGAAGCAAAATTGT